ACGGTTGCACGCGAAGATTGGGCGCTTGGTGTACATGTTGATAAACTTTATGAAGAGTTAGACGTACAACACTTTCTGAGATAAAAATCACGAAAAAAGACATGGGCAGTGGATAATCCGAGAATTTAATTAGTATTCGATATTTGTAATAAATAGTCAGCGATTAAAGACAACACTGTCTTGTGTATACAATGAATTCTCCTCCGACTTCGCACCCGTTGCTATAGGTACCAAGAGAGGTAAGTCACGCGACACAAACATGACCTCTTTTGATCGATTTTTATTGCAGGGTATTCCTTGGCAATTAAAATGTTTTGAGAAGGATTTGAAGCAAAATTATGATAAATTAATTAGTTTGAATATGTTTTTAGTCCAAATATATCATCAAATCACCCAGTGTGTACGCGGGAATGTATCTTAAAGGTCAATGGCGCGATTGATTCCGTGATATTAAAGGGCGTGTGGCTCTATTCTTTGGAACTTTAAATAGTTCTTAAATATGGAAGGTATAGATATCGCGATATTAATACGGTAAAACATGTCTACATATTTTGATGATTTTAACCCCTGAAAAGACAATTTTTGCCGAGTTAAATTTAGCAGCACGGTATGTTGTATGTCGCCATTTTGTTTTAAATGCGCACGTTTGATATTAAATTTTGTCAACAAATTCCATTTATCGCCATGCGCTTTGTGGACATATACTACGGCGAAATGGAATATGTTGCCAATACTTCAGAATAGTAATATATTTACGCAAACGTGCGCATTTAAAACGAAATGACGACAAACAACAATTTGCATTGATTTAATTATCTCAGAAAAAAAGTCAGGGTTAAAACCATGTCAATGGAAACAATATGTTGAAATATTACCTTATTAATATCGTGATATATTTCGCGCTATTGACTCGTAAACGCTTCCATATTTAAAGCACACGTTAAAGTAACATGAATGTAATCTATACTAATATTTTGTTTTTAAATTATTGATTGAAATGGACCTATATTGAAATTCTAATTCCTGTTTTTAATTTCGAATATTATGGAAAATGTCGTGTTAGAAGTTAAGCCCCTTTAGAGTTGCATTGTGTAAGATTTAGGTAAGTCCGATTATCCATTTTATCGTTACATTTTTAAATCTCGCGAGTGTACCAATGCTTTAAATCTCGTCTATCCCGTGGTCTAGAGAGTTGATTATAAGCTTGCCATGTGAATGGATGTCTAAATAATAGTTTATATAACATATGAAGCCAAAATAATGACATGCACTAGGCAGGCTGAGATTTTACATAATGCAACACGCTATGTTGCATGTCGTCATTTCGTTTTAAATGCTTACGTTCGCGTGAAGATATTACTATTCTGAAGCTTTTTCAAAATATTCCATTTCGCTGTAGTATAATAATGTATCAACATATCAACATATTAAGTACTACGGCAACATGGAGTATGCTGAAATATTACCACGTAATCGCAGTATCGCTCTATTGACACTTACACGCTTTCATACAAACCGACCCCATGAAAACGGGATCATTGTTAAAGGCAGTGTTGTTATAAAGTAGAGCTGCTGATAGAAATAAGAATTAAGGAAATAAATGCGATTTTACTTGGTCATGTACATAATATACGACACACATTGTATATTTCATAAAATGAAATAGTTACGCGATAAAAGGAAATATAGTCGATTTTAATTGAGCCATACAATATACTATCTACACAGTAAAACTCTTTTTTTAAATAAAAAAAGTCCTCAATTTCAAGTAAAATTACGTATCTATGGAAGCGTATTTGGGTCACTACTTATTGAAATAATATCGCAACACATCGAAGTAAAATATGTCAACTTCATGAGTTATATTACAAAAAATCGACTTAATAAAGTCGACTTGACGCATTAAATTCACCTCTTGCCGACAAAAACTATGTCGATATGTTTACATCATGCCAATAGTCGATTTGACTAAATCAACATTAAGTCATATTTTAATGTAATATATAGACTTAATAATGTTGCCGTTTTCAGTTATGTACCACGTGCTTAATTTCATTGCCCGAGATTGCTTATTCGTGAAAGTGCAGCCAATGATTGGGTTCAACGTCCACTCGACACAAACTAGGTCATTTCGGGACTAAGAAATGGTTTAATTTTAGGGGAATTTAGCAGTGGGAGGAAACCGGAGGACCGGGAGAAAACCCACTAGGTTGGACAAGCAACCCTACTCCTTGTCACGTACAACCGGGGATTCGAAACCACGCCAGTTGACTCAATGATAGGCCTTATGATACAGTGCGCACGTGCTAACCATTAGCGAGCATTGATGTTTGCTCCTGATGCATCAACACGTACAATTTTACTTGATATCAGTACTAACAAACATTGTGGTTTTATTAGGTGGTCATTCCCGTTAAGCGGTCAGTCATGCAAACCCCCTTGAGTCTACTGTACTCCGGAGAAATTTGATTGGACGATTACAATAGACACACTTCGTCAAAACCCCAAGATTTTGCTATCAGCACATTGCTTCAGGAATATAGTAAAAGTCACAACATTGTTAACTCTATTGTTCGTCCAAATAGTATTTAGTCTTGACAGTTCACAAGGTTCAGACTAGTAGTATTGACAAGGACAAAGCCGATACTAAAAATAGCACAAACATGTTCATATTGAACTGCAATGTTCTATCCAAAAACATGATAATCCAAAATTTCTCCCAAAAATCTCCCCGCGTTTTCACACAGTAATCACGTAGTTCTTAGTTACACTATACACAAGTTTCAAATATCATATTTGAAGAAATCAGAGCAAAATAACCCAGTTGTAGCCACACATGGCAAAAAAACTCTTTTGGTGCTTGGAACAGTAATAAGTGCTGATAGTAGTAAGTCTTTTAGGATTATATACAAATTACCACCCTCAAAGAAAAAAAATAACAAACAATTTTTTTCACCGATGAATTTTCAGCTATGGTAGATATAATTGACAAGAAAGGGGAGAATTCTACAATTATTGTCGGAGATTTTAATATCCATTATGGTGGGTGGTGGTGGGGGGGGTGGCCGAATGGTTAACACGTGCGCACTGTATCATAAGGCCTGTCATTGAGTCAACTGGCGTGGTTTCGACTCCCCGGTTGTACGTGGCAAGGAGTAGGTTTGCCTGTCCAACCTAGTGGGTTTTCTCCGGGTCCTCCGGTTTCCTCCCACTGCTAAAGACCCCTAAAATTAAACCATATGTTAGTCCCGAAATGACCTAGTTTGTGTCGAGTGGACGTTAAACCCCATCATTGACTGCACTTTCATGAATAAGCAATCTCGGGCAATGAAATTAAGCACGTGGTTCATAACTGAAAACGGCGACATTATTAAGTCTATATTAGTATATATTGCATTAAAATATGACTTGTTGATTTAGAGTCAAATCGACTATTGGCATGATGTAAACATATCGACATAGTTTTTGTCGTTTAGAGGTGAATTTAATGCGTCGAGTCGACTTATTAAGTCTATTTTTTGTAATATAACTCATGAAGTTGACATATTTTAGTTCGATGTGTTGCGATATTATCTCAATAAGTAGTGACCCAAATACGCTTCCATAACGTATCATCAACATTTTGTATTGGAATAACCAGGCATGACATCTAACTCAATATTTTCCATAATATTCGAAATTAAAAACACGAATTAGAATTCAATATTGATTAATTTCAATCAATATTGATTAGAGCTGGGTGATATCCCATGAAACAAATATCACGATATTTTCTAAAAGAATATCACAGAATATCACGATATAATCACTATATCGCGATATTTTATAAAATGTCAATAATTTCAGTTTATCACCTTTTAAATGTAAATAAACATGATTAAAAGTTGGAAATGCCCCCTGAGTATTAACTTGACACTTTCTAGTCATTATTAGTTGAAGTTCTTAGCATAAATACAGTACCGAATTTACAAACAAAATTTAATTAACTGGTTCATAGATCGGTATAAACAATTCATCAAGATGTATACAAATTGAACAGAAGAAGGGATAATTCTTACGGTAGGGCTGGTGGAAAAGTGAGCGAGAAGTGACGTGACTATAGTGAAAACCCGGGAGTTTATAACAGTATTTATTCATCATTAGGCAATAAAATATCGTAAAGAACATAAAAAGGAAGAGACTTTTTCAATATTTATGTTAAATATCATCCACAAAAAAAAAAGCGGTATGTTGGGGTTTTTTATATATTTTTCTGAAGACGGTATTTTTGACGTTTTTTTTTATCTCTGTGGCGGTCGACAATTTTTTCATATGTGGGCGAAACTTTTTGTAGGGGGTGCGAACGGGCCTGGGTTTTATATCGAAAAACCGAAATATCACCCAGCTCTAATATTGATGTGGAACTATATGATCCAATATCCAATATTTAAGATACAATTAACATTTTATAATCAGTACACAAGTAGTGTACCCTGTGGTTTCCGGTGCCATTTTGTAATGAACAAATAAAAACATATCCCACAACGCAATGCGGCAGTAATAAGTAAAGGCTGATTCACAAAAGACAAAATAATAATTTAAAAAACTTGTAGAATGCACTAAGCAGGCGTAAACGATTGCCGTTCAATTTGAACTGTTCACGTATTTCACCGAACATAATTGATTAGAAATTGCAGTATTTTCTTTCAAAAATTAAATATAAATCACTTTACATATATTCATATGTGCTTTTAGAACCATTTCAAGGTTCCACAAATTAGAACCATACGCCCTTTAAGAAAAAATTTAAACACCTATAATAATTGACGTTTTTTTGTTTTCCTAAAAAAAAATTAGAAAATAACAAAAGACAAAACCTACTAAAACCAATATCAGTTTTAAACTATAGACAAAAACTCTGACAGCTCAAACAGAGGGGTACATTTTGAAATAACTCTACTGTGTTTGAATCCAGTATCTACGCACTGTTCAAATACGAAGTGAAAAAAATGAATACGTACCAGCCACGGGAGGTCCAAATAAATACCCCACACCACTACAGAACATCAGCACACCATAAGCAGTAGATATATTATTAAGTCCGTTAATCTCAACCAGTAGAGTATATTGCAATGACCAGCAGGCACCCGTATAAAATCCAAGGAATGCTGTATAAGATATTTTACCACCTAGCGAGGACATAAACTTTATAAAAAATGTCACTACACCAATTATTCCAAACATTCCCCCAAAAATGATACTAACTCCGACGGATGAGGCTAAGATTCCTAACAATACACGAGATATTGTTCCAGTCACACCAGCAATAGATAAAAGAAATGCAGCTTCTTGGGATGTAGAACCCAGAAGTTTGAAATATTCCGGCATGAATAAGTAAACAGTAGACACAGCCATACTAAATGACGTAGAACTGACCAGAAACAGCCAATATGGAACAGACTGAAAAAAATTGAACCGATCCTGCCAAACTGTAGACACTTTTTCAGTTTCCAGAGTTCTTTGTCGGCTACGACAAGATACTGCTTTGAGACGCAGTTCATATTTCGTCGGTTTCATAAGAGCCCCAAAAACTGAGCTCTGAAAACCAAGCGCACCAAGCATCAAAAAGGTCCCATCTAATCCATATGTGTCAATCAGATATTGTGTGAAAGGTGGAAAAATAAAGGAACTCAGTCCACATCCCCCAACAGCTATTCCTGTAGCCATGCTTGTTTTGTCCATAAAATGGTAGCCCAACGATACCAAGGTTCCAGCAAAACACAGAGCTTGTCCACTTCCTGCAATCATACAAACATAAATGTCAGGGAAATAAAAGATGTGTACGGGCTGGTCAAGAATACAAAATTTCATTCTGGCATTCCAGAGATAGCTACCCTTAGTCACAGCCCTACAGGCAATGTATAGTGTACAATCTCGTTGTTAAACCACAAAGACGTTATTACGGAATTCAAACACTGGTTTATAATACACATAACGCGAAGTTTCGATCTGAAATTCATCAAACTTAAATGTTTGAACACGCGTTCAATACAATAAATATAAGCTGGTCTTTAGCAAGGGAGCTAATTTTGGGTAAGCCACGGGGATAACCTGGTGATCACGCTGTACAGTCCAGATGTTGAATTCCGTGCCACATTTTTTGGAGACAACATAAATGCGTGTTTGTTGGGTTTTTTTGTGTTAATTTTAGGTATAATTATGTTTATTAGTTAGAGGTGTGATATAGGTCTAACCTGTTCCCATACCCTGTTCTTATTGAATAACGTATAGTTTAAAAAAAAAAATGTTTATAAATCTACAGAACAAAGGTCCTCTTATGTCCATTCATAATTTACTAAAATCATAGGAAAATTAAATCATACAATAATACCTGCTATAAAACTGTAGGTTATGAATAGATATTTTATGTCGGTGACAAATCTACTTAAAGTAAAACCAACCAAAGTAACAACTCCACTTAACATAACACATGTTCTACTGTTAAACACACTGATAACGTTGCTAGCTATAATACCTGAAACACAAATTATGCCTTGCTATCATAGCTGAAACTTAAGTTAAACATATTTTATAACATATAATCGAAAATGAAACATAATTCAGTAAACAGATAGACACTAGTTCACAGATACATTATGTAAGATTTAGATAAAGAGCTAGCCATTCTTGCTATAATAGTTCGAAAATAGATTATGTAAAATGAATGATTTGAAAATTTCATTCAAATTACTCTTGGTGTGAATGTAAACAAAAAATACTGTATATAGTCTCAAACAGACCAAAATATTGTACAAAACTTCATTCCTGTATTATTAGTTGAGGAAAGAAAGAGGTTTTTATCAAACCTGTTTGTTTGCGACAACATCAACAATACAAAAAATGGTTATTTCCCTTTTTGCTTGAATGTGTGCATTCAATAATAACCTTATTTTACAAAGATACGCGTTTAAACTATTTTTTTATTTATTTAAAAAGTCTCAAAGAAAACTAGCAGTGCTAAAACAATTAACTATGTTCTAACTCTTTGAGTATTGGTAATGTTTCCCTGACATTATATCATTCCGTGTGTATCACTGAAGATTTTAATTCTATAATGCCCCCCCCCCCCCACACACACACACACACACCCACCCTCTCTCTCTCACACACACACACCCACAAACACGCACCCACCCCCACCCCACACACACCCACACACAAAGCAAGCTTTATTTACAAGGACATGCCTTCAATAACACGCATGAATCAATAGTCTTTATGGATAAAATGTGGCGTGAATTGGAGATATTACCGTCACAAATTATTTATTATTCATATTAATGTGAATCGGTTCAAATAGGAATAAGATATTTGTAACAAAGCATGAACCAAGTTCACAACGAATTAAAATATAATATTTATACCGACGCAGTTAGTTTGAATATATTATGATGTGCCGTACATAAATTAAACATAATTCATTATCCCGTGTATTAATCCGAAACCTCGCCAAACCAAGCTCAAGAAATATTATTTTAAGAAATAGCTATATACTGTGGCCCGGGCCCGTAGCCACGGGGGGGGGCTATGGGGGGGGGGGGCGGGGATTAGCCCCCCCCCCCAATATTTCGCCAACAATAATGATTTCTTAGGAGCGTTCTTAGCCGGCCACATCTCAGTCCCTCCAAAATATTCCGTAGCCCCACCAAATTTTAATAGCTGGCTATGGTCCCGCTGTGGCCCCTTTCTTAATACATTGTAGCCATATATGAACATACAGCATTAACCCTGTGCACTGCTTTCATCGTTTATGAGAACAAATATTAATAGGTCTTCTATATATTCTTTTACGATTTTCGTTCAGTTTTTAACACCACAATAAATCCACAAACTACAAGAGCGAAATTCCGACCATCATCTTCAAATTAATTGGGGGGTTTGGGGTTTTTTTTGGGGGGGAAGGGGGGTGCCGCACCTCATCTGAATATGTACCCTATATACTAACATAATTTAAGTTGCACATAACTTGGGTTTTTTATATTGTGTAAAACCACAACAATTTTGAGTATTTTAATTAACGAGCTTCCAGGTTGTAAACGACCAGTGGATCCACTTTATACATCATACGCATCTATCACTTCTCTAATTTCCATGTTTTTTTTCATCATATAAAGGAAGTAACCATTTATTAAGGGCGCTGACAAATCTTATATTTAAACCATATTAAAACTCACAATAATCCGTTTTACTATTATCAGTTCGTATATCTATGAACATTATGATTTTTACTTGGATTATCTTATTGATCGTAGAGTTTATGGGTGGTTTATGCCATGTAGCACCACGAGTCTTTAGTCAGACGTGGAGAGCGGAAACGTACTAAAACCGGTCGCCACATCTTGCGTACGACCCATGCATCTTTTCTTACTACATATTTCTGTAGCCTTGTGATCGTCTAGAATTTGTCTCTAGCTATCTTTACTTCTACTTCACGTTGTGTATTTACTTCTTACTGTTTTCTTAAGACGGTTGTCTTGCCAGGAATAACAAAACAACTGTTCGCTTCTACATTTTATATAGCATAGCCGAATACATGTATACAAGCACAGATTACAATACTAGCTAAAACCGTTTCTCAACCCTAGCCAGCCTCGCGGTTGTCTAGGAACTCAGATGGAACCTCTCTGGAATGTAATGGAAGTCTGACTTAAAAGTTTACTATGATTTCTTTGATAAGACGTATGGATATCATGCACAATCAAGTGTGATCATGGCCCTGAACCTGTGCAATTAACGATATGATTGGTTAAATTAAGCCAAATGATGCAATGGTAAATTTCCATGCACGTGATATCTCGTGGTATTTTATAGACACATGTTTTGGCTAAATAACTCTTTTTATGTGTCAACCCATCAGTTATTAACTAAGTTGATTTAAGTACACACTATATATAATATATATGTGAATATGTGTGAAACTATTAATTTGCCAAATATATTAATTAATGAAATATAAAGTCATCTTATTTCTCTATTCCTTGCCTATAAATTGAAAACAATGTCGTAACGACTCAACCACTCACTCACTTGTTAATTAGCGTTTGCCCTGTTAACATCTATTCTTGTGTTTAGTGGATTATTGGATAATTAGGATCACTCTATACTGTAAGTTATTCTTATTCTCTTTGCTTTTAATTGTTATCTGTTCTTAAGTATCTAGCCAAATTCGTCATCTGAACAACTCAAGTTAGCGGGCGGGCTAATCTTAGTTGTTCAACAAAAGTCAGGCTTCAGACTTTCGTCTACTTTCGACTCCTTCCCCAATCTCCCACCTTCTATTTTGAAATTGACTTGTCTTTTCATTTTTGTTTTATTTTGTTTCACTACGTTTTATTCTTTATTTTATTTTTATTTGTTTCTAAATAATTTCTCCTTTCTACATTTTATCATCATGGCAATGAACTTCGCCAAAGCCTTGGTTAACTCACCAAGAAAACCCCAACCAGCTCTCGTATCAAAATCGGTGCCGGAGTATAAATTTATTGTATTATGTACTCCCAAAAATGGGAAATCATTTAAGGGCACAAAGGTGTCCAAAATAGGAGATGAAATCCGTATGAAATGGGGAACAGCAGCTCTCCCAGACATACGGATCCTTGCTAATGGAAATATTAGGATTGCATTCCAAAACATGGAAGATGCCCAACTAGCCACCAATGTCAAAATCCTAGGGACCCTCAACGTCGAGATCTCCATGTCGTAGCATAACCAGACGGACAGGGTAATTGTTTACAACATTCCTAAGGACTATTCCGACGAGGAAATAAAAGAAAACTTAAAATTAGGGGGCTATAATCCCTTAGCCCTTTACCAATACCCAGTAAGGCAGGGAAAAAATATAAGAACCATTCAGATCACCTTCAATAAAAATGAGACACCACAGGGAATAATCTACATGTTGTACGAAAGACGTCCCGTACACCCATACATCCCCAAGGTTAAAAGATGCACAAAGTGTCAAAGGATAGGACATGTTGAAAAATTTTGTAGGAGTGAGGCCATATGCGGGAAATGTGGGAACTCCCACAACACCAAAGACTGCAGGGCCTCACAGTTAAAATGTGTCAATTGCAGAGGCAACCACGGTGCCGACTCACCGACATGTCCAAAATATTTAAGCACCAAATCCGTACTAAACTTGCAATATACGCATGGCATCAGCCACAAAGAAGCAACGGCACACGTTGCAAATAAAACAATGCCTAAAAAAACAACAGCATCATCCACTAATAATAGGGAAGTCCCCCAAAAATTGAGCAACACTGAATCAGATAAATCGTTCACGCCCCAATTTAAAGGAATAAAAGAGTTTGTCAGCTTCTGCAAAGAGTTGACAAAACTCGGCTCAATAAAAAAGGAGGAGGAAAGAAACATTCAAATAGGGAAAGTAATACTAAACAATGTAATAAACACATCCAATGTAATTACAATAACCAAAACCCCCAAAAATAAGGGAAAACCTTCCCAAACAGAGAAAACGGCAACAAACACTGACATGCCCCCACCCTCCGAAACTAAAATTAAAGATCGTAGAAGCCGAAGCCACTCAAGGCTGTCGGCAAAAAGAAACATAGACTTAGTTGCTACAGAAGACGAAGACAACTCAATTAGATATGGGGATAATCCCATGATCACTGAGACCGAAATTCCTAATCAAAACAAACGTACATGCAGTACAAGCAATAAGGAAGACGGATTGTAAACATACTAATAACTTAAATAAACAAATCATTATCATTTACAATGGAGAAGCCAATCACAATCTTTCAACTCAATGTGAATGGGCTGCGGTCTCGTTTGATAGAACTCAAACAATATGTCTATCAAAACAACCCAGACATACTATGTATACAAGAGACACGATTAACTCCCAAAAACAATGATATAAATTTGGACAGTTACACAATGGTGAGGCATGATCGACCGGGCCAATCAAAAGGAGGCGGTCTCGCCATCTATGTTAAAAACAACATCCCTTTTAGCAGATTAACGATAAATCAATCAAGTAAATTAGAATTAATGGCGATTGACATTGCTATAGGAAACAAACAAACTTTAAGCATAGTAAATGTCTACAACCCACCAGCTACTAAAACAAAAAACAAAGACTACGATAGGATTTTCAAACAAATTCCGGGAGACAACTTAATCATATGTGGGGACTTCAACTGCCATCACAAGGCATGGGGCTCACCAGCGAGCGACACAGATGGGAAGGAACTGTACGAGTACATAGAAGGCAGCAGCCTTCTACTACTCAATGAAAACAATAGCGAGCCAACCTTCATAGGGAAAAACTGTAAAAAAGGAACCCATATTGATCTGACACTAGCCTCAACAAAACTATTCCCTCATTGCAATTGGGGAGTAGGAGACGAAACATTAGGCAGCGATCACATAGCAATCCACACCGCCATAGCCTACACCGCCAACTCAGAAAACATCAAATGTCAGGCTAAATGGAAAATGGACAAG